TGTATGAGCGCAAAACAAAAGATTGTGCACGGTCGAGGACCTTCCAACATAAATCTTGGCATCTTTGTTTGCCCCTTTGATGTTTATGTTGGAACTAAGAGACGTCAAAAATACTATATTAATTTTTTAATGTCCTACCATTTTGTCACTAATTGCAAATAAATAACATATTGGTCAAGTCACAAAATTTGTCTCTAAGTTTTCTATTTATTTATTGTCTTGTGTTTTCTTATATATATATTTCCCTGGCTATCATGATTTCTGGAAATGGAAGTGAACTTCAAACATGTTTCCCTGGTCAGTGTGGTAAAAATACTGATTCCTTTATTTGTTTCTGTTAAAATGTGTTCAGGATGCAGGAGATGTCACAAGTGGCATGAAATCAGAGGAAAGCATTGTTCCTCAGGAATCCCTAGAAAATCCGGGACAGGTATGTATTTAAAAGGTGTTTTGCTACACATTCAAAAGTTAAAGGAAATTGTTGCAACTTTCCATCAAAGAGGAAAAGTCTCCTAGTGTCCCATCATGTGATGTGATCATGAGCTGCAGCCTAATTTCCCTCCTTGTGTCCCAGCATGTGCACCATAGTTTGTAATTAAGTTTTGCCTTCGGTGGGATAAATAAACATGATCTATACATTCTTAGCTGTTGGTCTGGCGCAGGCAACATTTACACTTCGGATTTGTGACAGATGTAGAATGTTTGTTTAGAAGGACTAGGAACTAGTTACGTCATGGGCATGCGCAATAGATTTGCCTAGCTCGACCACAAGGTTAGAGACCGGCCATATTTGTTTTCAAGAACTAGTTTGGAGAATGTTGATTAATTAAACGAGTTGATGTATGAAGCGATGATTTCATTTTGAGTGTTCAACCGTTCAGAGGAACAATGTTTTTGAACAGGTTTTGTTTGTTCATTTACACATGTAGGATAATCCAAATTAGTAGAATTCTACTAGTATACTAATGCAAATGCTGCATTCTGATTGGCTGAGCTACTCGTATACTATTAGC